CCGGGTTGATGTCGTACACGGTATGTATACGGACGAGGGTGTGGTCGAGATACCACGGCAAATACTCCGGTGTCGACTCCCAAGCCGGACGCGCCCAATGACCATAATAATCTTCACTAAGCATGTGCGTGTGAGGGATATTCCACGTCTGATCGCCAGGCTCGTAGCTAATTTTGTAAGATGCTAATTTTCTCTCCCTCCTAGCACCTTTTAGCAGACGAATAGGGTCCGACGATTTAATCTGCCGAAATCCGAACTGACGCAAAACTCTATCGGGCATGTAAGGCTCGATCGTATCCATCCATCGTATAGTCCCGTGATGCACCGTCTTTTCAACTTCACGTGACAGATTCACTCCAAATGGCGTCTAATTCACCTGTGCGTATGTATTAATAATAGAAATGTATTAATAAACATAGTAAATATATAAATCTTAATTTATTTAAACTTGATACTTACATCTGACGCACGCATAGAATCAAGACGTCGACGATAATCAACAAGTATATCCTCGTCTTTAGGGATATGATGTATCACCTGCCACCTCTTAGACCAGGGCTCTCCATTCACATGGGCGTTAACCATCGGAGGCCGGAAACACGGAAAATACTCATATATCCAACACTACAAAAATAATGATACGACATATTAATCATAACATTTTGGTGATATTAATAAAAGAAACAATTGAGGGGTTACTACAAATAAAAAATTACCTCTAACAGTGTCAGACAACCACCCATCTGCGCCGCCTCAGCTCGCGTAGCCATGCCCAATTGTCGATACAAATAGGCTAATGTAGCCGAACCCCACGAATAGTCGGAAATCATATCGATCTGCTCTAAAAGTGGGAAAAAATCTGCTTTCACCTTCGATCCACTCTTATCGACAAACAATAGCTTTCCAAGCAAGTACGCAATATATGTTCGTACCCGAAACTCGGAAGCAAATGAAGAATCGTCGCCATACATCCTATCCAAATCATCTAACCGGTATCCGCCGCCATACCACTTCTCCATATCTCGGGGCTCGACACCGAACGCTCTCGCACCTGCATAAATCGCATCTGCCTTATCAATCCAAACGTTAGGGCGCTTTCCACTAACTCGCAAATGCATGATATAGTGCACATCGTGGAGAGTAATTGTCATCTCTCCAAACGGCATATGAAAGTTGTTGGTGTCTGGCTGCCACCTCTCGATAAAAGCCTCTATCAACGAGTTATTGTGCTGAGGGAGCGAACAATAACGCAAGTGATACAACCCGGTACTCTCCAATAGTGAAACACTATAATAGTCGTCGGGGCCCGGCCAAGTAGACTTCGCATGAGACCGCAACTTCAGCATATGTCGGCCCTATTGAAGATATATTGATATTTAAGAATAGGAAAATCAACTATAAACATTTTCAACAAAATTTATTAAAATTAATATGTATTACCTTTCCCTCCCAGATGTCGTAGGCAATATGGGCTCCAAAACTCGGAATCAAATGAGGGTATTTTGGTCCACCGGGTGTCTCACCAATCAACTTCCACGGTCGAGTAGGAAGAGTTTTTTTCGGACCGGGCCGGGACCTCGGGTTTGGGGCAGGAGTAGAACCACCGGAAGTACCAGCCATTGTATAAACCGGAGGCGGAGGCGGAGTCAAACCGTCCTCGTCATCATCATCGGATGGAAAATCAGGCACCAGGAACTGATACTTCTGCTGAAAACGTAGTCCTAGATCGTACTCGTCCTCGTGGGGATCCATATATGTATCCATCTCCTGCTCGGGCTCTGCCTCTGTCTCCTCCTCCTCCTCAATTGTCATACGTGGTTGTACAAAAGCACCAGTCCGTTCCCCACGACGTTTAGAACTGGTAACATTACGGTTGTGCGTTCTGCCCTCCCGTTCCGCAGTACTCTCCTCCACCGGATTTGCAGGAGGACGAATCAGGGGACCCTTTCCTTTTCCCATTCCCAATTTTTCATCCAGTTAGACATCCTACAAACATAAAACATATTTGAAATTAATTAAATTAATATAATTGAATTAACAAAAAAAAAAAAAAAAAGATCGAACGCTCGGTTTGGGCGTGAACC